AGCTCTACAATACCCGTAACAAAAGCACAACAGCTGATGCATGTGATGTTAGGAGGTGACAAAACAGTTAAAGTATGCTGCTGGCTACAGGCAAGCAGTCAGCAGATGCAGACAAAAGGGTTTGTGACAAGAATAACTCTCTCTCCAAGGCGAGCAGTCAAGAGTATCCAAAATACCAATACCCTTTTCTCCTTGACATTGTCTTCTTACAGTCAGCATTTTATTGCCCTTTTATAGTAAAAAAACAAAACACAATTCTCTGGAATATCGGTTTTAACTTGACTTTCACAATTCTGTGATCTTTACATCTGTATTGCTTTTTCTATCATTGAGATTTGCCACTTGAGCAAGAATTTTTGAAAGTTTAAAAGATTAACTGTAAAGAAGCGCGCCCTTAATAGGATTAACGACATGAAATACACATATAAATCTTTGAGCAGACCAGTGACTTGTTTTGTCATTTGGTTTTGGTGGTTTTCCCCTTTTCTATTAAGAGAGAATCAGGCATCTTATTTTGCTAATGAAGAAATAAGGCTTGGGTAGAAATTAAAGGTTTGCTTGACAATGGGAGAGATTTAGGTGCTGGAAAGGGACTGTGAATGAGCTGATGTTTATTTCAGAAGTGTGAAAAATCAGCTTATATATCTCCAGAAAGAGAGAGAGCGAGAGAGAGGCTGTCTTCTTTCTAACCTTTGTAATTCCCCTTCTAGTCTCTGTGACATTCATTCAGCTGCCAAGCATGTTTGGCAAGGCTTGAGCCAGTGAGCGCACTTCCAGTGACCGCTAACCTTGGTATGTCCTGACACTTATGATGAGTATCTGCAGGACACAGAAGGCAGGCAGGCTGCTATGTCAGGCTTTTATTATGTACTGCAGAGGCTGGGGACAGTCAGTTTAATAAAACAAATCATCCTTGAAGGTAAAGCAACTGGGAAGAGGAGGAGGAGGAGGGCTCAGGGAGGGGAGGAGATGAGGGGAATGGGAGGGAAGGGAGAAAAAGTCTTTGCTGCACAACCCAAAAACCCAAAGAATTAACTAATAAAAGACACAAGATACAAGACAACCCAATAGTGCGAAAAATAGTGAAGGGCCACTGATCGGCCACCAACTTGAGACACACGGCTACTTCTAGTGTTCCCTTCCTCCCAACAGTGATTTTTAAAGTCCATGCATACCATCGGAAGGGAAGCCTGATCCTCTTTGTTGGCTTAAAATCAGCGTTGCTTCACTGATTTTCCTCGAGCAATGCTGACTTAGACCTGCTGAGGATCTGCCCTCACCTTCCCAATCACCGCTGCCTTTTTGGTAATGTTTTCCTTGGAAAGAAATTCAACAAGTATTTTTAAAGCATATAGTTTTCTGCAACTGTGTATGCTTCTGTATGAAAGAAGTGTGAGTTAGGTCTGACTTGGCTCCAACTTTTGAGCCATTGGAACTATACTTTTACTCACAGAGAAATAGTTTGAGCGGAGTATTTTTAACAAAGCACTCCCCCACAGTGCTAATCCAAATGGTTCAGCATGGTAGTTGCACATGCAAACCCAGGAGTGAAGTAGTTCAGGTTAGTTTTTCAAGCCAAGGAAAATGCCAGTAGCTAAAACAGCATAAATAGACAGAGCAGATGAGAGCTTTAATTCCCTCCCAGTTTTCATAGACGAAGGGGATGTGTTAATGTGGCCAAGGCTTGAGAACAGGCACTGTGGTGGTTGTTGGACTGCGTTAGGAGGTACAGGACTGATGCGTACCAGGTGTAAATCAGCATAACTGCACTGGTAGAGCTCTGCTGATTTACACTAGCCCAAAGTTTGGCCTGTGACTTTTTCCTTGGCAGCGAAGCTAAGTTACGTTGACAAAGCATGCGGCAAAGTGTGATTTCTTTCTAAATCAGTCTGATGCGGAGGCTTCGGCCTGAAACCCACCTAGCCTCCCCCTGAGCAGACCTCATTGTCTTTCCTCCTGGTGAATGTACAGTGTGATTCTTTGATTGACTGCTGCCACCTGATGCTAAGAAAATGCCCTGGGTTCATACTAGGGATTGTTGGTTCTATTAAAAGCAACGTAGATGGAGTTTATTTGTCACTGAAGCATTTTCTGCAGATGTTCCTACTTCAGAGATGTTCAGTCAGTTAGGTGTAAAGATGCGCTGAATAGGTCACCATCACTTAGGGTCAGGGAAATGCTACCCCCAGACACATAATTAACATGGCTGACTGATTATTGCCCAGTGAAAAGTCTAACTACCCATCCATTTAAATATTTATTTTCAGGCTCTGGACTTCACTAGTATTTTCTTTATTTAAAAAAAACACAACACTTTGCGGTTACTCTTTCTAGAAAGGAAAAACATTGGCTGACGAACTGTCCTGTGGGGATTAATCACAGTGCTATTCACATTACAACATGCAAAGTAACATGTGTAATCCAGTCTGACATGAAAAATTGCTAATAACATCCCAAAAGGAAAGAGCTATGAACGGCTCTAATGCCTGTGGAGTAGGGGAGATCTTTGGGAACTTGGCATTACGAGGAGGTCTCTTCAAAGCCCCCGCAGGGCTTTGTTCACTATTATGTTTGTGGACTGCTCTCTGCAGCCTGTTGTACCGGGTTCAAAGCGGCCCAGCCCTGCAGATGTGACTCAGGTACAATGAAGTCAGACCTTAAAAGCTAACTCTTAGCCTAAAAGAAAAGCCTGTGTGTCTTTACGGGGGTGGGAGGCCTGGAAGCTAGTGGCTCAGGGGTTTCACACTGCCTACTCCATGGAAAAGCAGCATCCCCTACCTGGAAAACTTTCATATGCACAGGTAGAAATTGAATGGCAAAGGCTCAACTTAAAACCCAGGTTGTCACTTCTACGCTTAAAGTTGTCATGGGTGTAACCACGTAGGGAGAGGTAGGACTTTTTGCATTTGGACTTGATGCTTCTCATGTAGGTGCTTGTAATTGGCTCCCTCCCATCTCCAGCGACTTGGAAGGGAAGAAAGGCATCTGATGTTGGTCCTCTGGAGTGGACACCAAAATTGAAAGGTGTGAACTCTTCTTCCCAAGCACAAAGGCAAAAACCAACAGTTTTTGCCCTCGTGAGCTAACATCGGTGTGTACACCAAAAAGTTGGTTATCTACTACATTTCTTGCTTTCTAGTATCACGCAGTCAAAAACTCCTTCCCTTGGTTAGCGCCCAGCAATACCAAGGGTGATGAACAGCACATGAGCAGTTGTTTGAACTGCATGAACAGAAAAGTGTATCATTTTTTATAGCAATGCAAGAATGAGACAAGCATGGTATCTTTTGTAGATGTATTACGGAGTGCACAGACAGCAGAGTGGTTACGTGAAGTTTTAAGTTATTTCTTTGAGCTGGAATAAGTGAAACATAATAGTAATTTTCTTCCCTCATAATTATTGCTGCCATAGAATATCTGTAAAAATGTTTCTTTCTGTGCGGCCCATTGAATGAAAAATTTCCACAGAAGGCAGCCTGTCTTTGGGAGCAGAGAAAATCGTGTGGGGGATGGATTTCACTCTCGGAGGTAGATGGAGGACTTCTGCGGGCTGCGGGGCTTCTGGAAGCAGAGTTTGTCAGCTGGTGTCAGGGGGAGCTGATCTCATGCTTATCTGATGGCAAAATGTGGCTAGCAAACTGCTAGCATTTCCCCAACGGTGATAGTTGAGTGACGCTCCAGAGCTCTACTGAATCAGGTTAAACCCGCACATTTCCAGACAAGTTTTCCGAAAGTGGCTTCTAAAGGGAGAAGAACAAAAGCCTGAAGTAGAGGATAAGGTGCTGGCCCTGATCTGGCAATGTGACATGCATTGAGTAAATGAGTGAGATCTGCCTGGGTGTCTGTTGGCCACAGGACTGGTTGAAGTAGCCTCTACTGCAGGTTGGAAAACTCCTCTTGCCAGTGTGGGCAAAGAATAGCAGTGAGGGAATACTTGCTATTATAAGCATGCTGGCTACTCGCCGGCCGTGTATTAGCAGTTCTAGAGCTGTGAAGCCATATTTCCGTAATAAAAAATGGAAAATAATACCTTTATGGAGATGACCTCAACCTTGCAACTGACCTACGGTTCATTATAGTGATTGCTTTCGAATCATTTAAGGCAGAGGGTAAGAAGGTGGTGCTGTTGCCGGAGACAACTATTTAGGATGAATTACCAAAGTTTGAAGGTAGCTGTGGTTTTTAACATTCACCCATTGTTCAGGGGCTTCTCACTCTCACCGTGAGAGTGGCACACCCCTGCTAGCTGGCTGTTTGGCTCACTCGTGAAGTGACAGTGACATTTAGAAAACCCGGATGAGTTTGATGCATCCCAGCTCAGTAGCCACTTGGAGCACAATGTGCCCATTGAAGAGGTTGGGGTTTTATTTGTAGGCTTCTGAAAAAGAAGGGAAGACCATAGCATCTCCCGAGAAAGCCATCTTATGGGCGTCTCATGCACAGCAGCCACAGAAGCAAGCCGTTAGCTGAAGACTTGCTTGCTTGCTTGTTTTTAAACTACGAACAACATTTGGAGATACCCTATTTCTTTGATAGCTTTCAGCACTGGTTGTAACCACAGTTAAGTGCAGAGGTACAGAGGCTTTTCTATGCATGCATAACTTTCGTATTAGTTCCCACACGGAGAGAAGAACATAGCTGTAAATGCATGGGTAAAATATCAAGCAGAGACTTCTCTCCTTAAAGACAATTGTGTTTGTTTCCCCTCCTGCTAATTATATCCTATAAATCCCCCACTCTCTAAATTCAGACAGTAACATTTTGTTACCTACATTCTGTCAGTAGACTTTACAAAGATCTCCAACACATGTTATAAAAGTTATTGCTATAGTACTATATATAACAGCTTTGCATAAGAGAATAGAAGCTGCCACATTTAGAAAATGCAGGTGCTATGTAAGCCCCTTTCTGAAAGAAAGAACTTAGCTCAGTTTCCTTTGAAGAACCAGAGACTTGAAATTGAAAACTGTATTAATGCCATTGTCTCCTTGTATCAGCAGGTTCCAGAGAGATTCCTGGAAGTGGCTCAGATCACGTTACGGGAGTTTTTCAATGCCATTATCGCAGGCAAAGATGTTGATCCTTCCTGGAAGAAGGCCATATACAAGGTCATCTGTAAGCTGGACAGTGAGGTCCCCGAGATTTTCAAATCCCCAAACTGCCTACAAGAGCTTCTTCATGAGTAGAGTTCAGCAGCTATTTATGAATGTATGAAAGTAGCAGTCCCCTTCTGATGCCCAAGTCATGTGTGTCTCTATTTTAATTTCATATATATGTGTATCGCATACATATATATGTATATGAAATTAGACTGTGATCCCTCCTGGATTTAAGTTTTTGTTCAGTTCCAAGGGGATGGTTATTTTACTTCAGCCTTCGGTTTACTTTTGCCCAAGACCCTTAACATTTGGAGAATCTACGGGGTTAATTTTCAGGGAGAAGAGTTTGGAAGCGTGTAAAAGCCTGTCTTAGCAAGTTAGGGCATTATGTTTAAAAATGCTTTGTCAGATTTATTGCTTGCTGCAAAGTGGCATTTTGTCTTAGTGAGACTAATGTCATGGCACAATACTACAGACAATGAAGTTTATATTATGTTTATACTGCTAAAGGTCTGAACTCTGTGGAGTCACTTCATAAGCTTCGAGCTTTTCTTTTTGTTTTATATACTTTTTAACCAATAACTAGATTTTGTTTCATACTTCAAAAAACTACAACATCTATTCTAGGTACTCACTCCAAGAAGTGATACCCAAAAAAGCAAACCCTATTCTTCATGCTTTCCTTACAGAAACAATAAATACCCTGCACCAGTAATCAACATGCCAGATTGTTGTTTCTCTAAATTGCAGCAAGGGACGTTTGCACAAATAAAATACCGTTCTTGCAGGGTGAGGCCAGTAATTCATGCACAATGTTGTATCAACCACACTAATTTTGGAATACGGTCAGCTTATTAAAGCGGAAGCATTTCACTCTCCATAGAGTAAAAATGAAACCTTCGGCGTCCTATATGGCCATGTCTTGGTCTTACTTTAAGTGGCATTAATCCCTAAATTTATTCTTTTCTTAGTCCATTCTGCTCCCAAAAATCCCCTTTCCAGTATACAAAGTTTTCTGTCTGTATTCGAAAAGCACTTTTGAATGATCTTAGATATAGTAGAAGAAAGTGTCTTCACCTCATAGTGCTGAGGCAAAGGAAAAAAAAACCACCTTGTTTGTAGCTGTAAAATACAATTAGTCTTTTCCTAATCAGAAGAATAAAAATTACGTTTTCATAAAAATCTAATCAAGCATATACAAAAATCGCAGTGTCCTCCTGGCTATGCAGGGTTCAGATAGCCAAATTGGATTTTTAAAATTACAGTAAGTGCAGCTTTAAAAAAAAAAAATCTGTTTGAGCAATGCGCTGCACTTGTCTTCTGAAGCTGGAGCTAGTCTTGACCAAAATCTGAGCTACAGTGTAAAAGTCCATGATGGATCTGGGTTCGCCTGAATGCTATACCACGATATGTCAGCAGACGGAAAGAAAGCTAGCTGCTAGTTCTCGTGCTTTCTTCAGTGGCTCTCCTTTTCTCACGTTTTCAGAAAGGTATCGTCTCCAGAAGTTTGGGGGAAGGTTGAATATGCTATGGCACTCTGTATTTGTCATTTTCTCTGTCGTCTTTTGTACGGATGCAGTAAGAATTTATTGTTATCGTCAATAGTATTTTCCCCTACATAATTCAGTCTGAATCTAGAGAAGTTCCTAATTAGCTGTGAATTATATTTAGACCATCGAGGATATTGGTATCTTATTTCTTTATTTTAAAATTACATTTTGACTTTGGAGAGTGAAAGTTTACCCATGTGACTAAAGAGCTGACCTGATCATTGCAATTTCACTTCATTTACAAATACTGCTGATAGACAGAAATGTATGAAAGCAATTATTGTTAGCAGAAAGCCTTAAAAACCTGCTGACTTCAAATTAAACAGCACAATCCTACGATTCCCTGTCATTCTTTTCAAGCACTGGCAGTATCTGTGGAGTATAGGCAATGCAGACAATAGCATGGGATGAAGTGCCAACATTTTCACTATGCATTAAAAGCAAAACAAATCTTCTTGATCTTAGACTCCCTGAGAGTACCTAATGCTGTACGTATCCCTACAGTAGACAGGATGTGTCTTTTTCTTTCTTTTCTTTTCTTCCATTTTCTTTCGTTTCCTGTTGTGTTCTTTTTTTTTTTTTTTGTGTGTGTGTGCATGATTTGGTAAACATTACACTTCATAAAGATGTAACTCCAATGAATTCTGAGTAAGAAAGGATGAAAATTGTGTTCATGCACTTTTTTGATTTCTGGGAAGAAGTGGCATAAAATGCTCAAGTTTTAATACAGTAAGCTCATCATTGGCATGCCATCAGATACAAAATATAACACTGCATTGTCACCTTGGACATAAGAAAGCAAAGCCATACTTTAGTCATACTATGTGGACATTTTTTTTCTTTTCTTTTTTTTTTTTTTTTTTTTTTTTTTGTGTGTGTGTGCATGATTTGGTAAACATTACACTTCATAAAGATGTAACTCCAATGAATTCTGAGTAAGAAAGGATGAAAATTGTGTTCATGCACTTTTTTGATTTCTGGGAAGAAGTGGCATAAAATGCTCAAGTTTTAATACAGTAAGCTCATCATTGGCATGCCATCAGATACAAAATATAACACTGCATTGTCACCTTGGACATAAGAAAGCAAAGCCATACTTTAGTCATACTATGTGGACATACTACTAGCTACCATCTCAATCTGTGATTTTACCGTTACTTTTATTATGTTGTTTTGTTGTTATTATTATTATTAATATTAATATTATTATTATTATTATTTGGCTGCAATGTGATTCACATAATCTAAATAAGTGAAATTGTGTACTCAACACTTGATGTTGTTGCATTTATTTATTTATTTATAAGTAGCATGATCTCAATAGCAAATGAGGCATAGGAATTAAGAGTAGAAATTTCATCTTAAAAGCAAAATAAAAAACTCCTTCATCTGAAAAAGGAATAAATGATAATTTGATCATTTCAGTGATGTGATTTTTCTGCATTTTATAGCCATATTGCCTTTGTGCCTCCCAATACACCTAAAATTATAAATACATAGCATAGCTCCTACTAAATTTTAAGTAGAAGGCAGTTTCTTTCAAATGATCTCAATATTATTTCACTAAAAATGGCTAAAAGGCAGGAGGCTACTTTTATTGTAATGAAAAGTTTACATAGGGAAGGAGTTTCAAAATCCATGTAGAAACCCCCATGTTGCCATTCATTTACTGCTAATTCAGATTTATTTCTGCATATAAACTTGAGGTTATAGTCTGTGCCTAGACCTTAAATGCACCAGCGGAAGGATAAAAAAAATCCTTCAAAATACCAGTTTTTCCCCCACAAGTACAATTGTTCTTGTGCCTTCTGTGGCTTACAATTTTCATCTTTTAAACTTTATTTTTCAATTACTACAGCTGCAATAAACACTGATTTTTTTTTTCCGGCTGTTTGACATAATGTTGATAGCTATGCATATTTTGTGTCTTTTTAAAAATTAAAAAAAAAAAAACAAAGCAGGAGAATACGTTTTTGAAGAAGAGAATTTTTAGAACAGTTTGATAACGCAAATTATTTTTTCTCAATTGTTTGAGCAGCATTCAAGTTTTGAAAATTCTTGTAGAAGCCAATTTTTTGTAACTGTGGTGCAAATCTTGTGTTTTCTTAGCCTGATGAAAAGTAGTATAGAAGCAATATTTCATACGTGACATGTGCATATACATATACATATATAGTCACACACACAAACTGTGTGGGTGTATGTATGTATATATACACAGAAACACACACACACACAAAATATGCGTATGAAGTGAAAAGCTTACCTTTTTCCTATCTAGATTAAGAACCTATTTTAGACATTTGTTATGTTTTGTGAAAAGAATGTTCTATTTGAAACTACAAAACATTTAATTCTTACTGTATCTCTGGTTGTTTAATGGGAACGTTTCACATTTAATGGTAAACATGTGGAAGATGTTAGAATGTAGTAATTATTTAAGAAGGTGTTCACCCATGTAATCCTGAGGTTTGCTTTGTGCCTCTGAGTATTATTTAATTAAAGTGTTTTAAGTTTGCAGAATCTTTGTTACTGTACCAGGTATGTGGGTGAACATTGAAAATCGAGGGGAACTTTTATAAAGCAATGTAAATATTCAACCTTATGGCTGTTCTTGCATAAAGACATAAGATTTTAATAACTACATTCTGAAAACATCTGTTGAATTTATAAGAAACACTACAGTAACTGTATAGATAGTTGAAAGCATTCTTGAAAATCCAGCGCTCTACTTTTAAAAGTTAAGTCTCTTTCATCAGATGTCAAGGGAATGGGTAATACAGTTTCTGTAAAATGGCAGAATTTTTTTCTATGTATATGAAGTCAGTTAATAGAAAAATGTTTTTTTCCACAGGTTAATATTAATTAAGAAATAAAGGTGAAGATTTTGTGGCTTTAAAGATAGGATTTTCACCAGCAGCATTGAAAGATTATACATATATATATATACAGAAAGATATATATATATATTAAAAATGGAAAGTGGTTTACAAAACCCCCAAAATGAGCACTGTACATGAGAAGCGAAAGCAAAAACTATATTTGCCATGTGTATTATATAGCAATCATTGGTGTTAATAGTGCAAATGTTTCCTTCTGGTACCAACTATGTGTTTGAAAATTCCAATACGCATTGTTTTCAAAAAGCTCCCCTTAAGGAATGTAACTGGTTTATATGAGTAAGCAGTTACTGTATTGCACTTAAATGTTCTGTTGAAGGAAATGCAATTTTGTTTTCTGTAGAACTGTTGGTTGTAAACCATCTATAAACTGAAGCTAAAAATGCTCATATTTAGAGCTGGGATGAAAACTGGTATTTAACCTTTGTATCTTCTTAGGAATATCCTTTTT